GCCACACCCGACGCAAAAGCTCAGGATATCATAACATCGCGCGGCAGCCCAAACTGCGCCGCAGCCCGCACCAGCCCGACCCACGCGGGCCAGCGTCGTCACCTCCAGCCCAGGCGTCGGGTGACATGACGACACACCCGGCCATGACCGCCGGGCGGTCATGACAAACCCGGGAGGTGACGCCTGTGACGGCGCCGCGTTCGTGGGGGGACCCCGAGCGCAGTCCTGGGCCAAGTTGTTGCAGCTGGTTCACGGCTTGGTATGGCTTGAGGCTAGGGCTGTGCATGGGGTTAAAGGCAAGCAGTAGGCCTGCTGCGCCGCCCGCCTGCAGCTCTTGTCACCGCAGATGCATCAGTCGCCGGGGTTGCGCGCGGCCGTTCCCACTCTTTAGCACTGGGGCGAGGGGCGCAGGGTTCGGCCGCTGTATTGAACAGTGGCATGAGTGACGCAGCCGCATGGGCGCACGCCTCGTCTTCACACACGCGTGGCCGTGGTGTCTGACAGCAACGCAGATGTGTAGTGTGCTTCAATTCCCTTGCTTGCTAGCAAGGCAGCGACCTGGAAGCCGGCAGGAAAGCTAGGGCCACTATGAGGCTCAGCACGTGATGCGGCCCCAAATGCATGCTCTCAGAGCTGCGAGGCTGCAGCACGAGGTGGCGGCCCTGGCTGTTACTACGCCAGGCGGCGCACAGCCGTTTGGGCTCGCGGCGCTGCCGCGCCGCGCGGCCTGGGCGCCCGCAAGAGCGCGCTGCGGGCCATTGCGTGCGGCTGCGGGCACGTGGGGTCATTTCTGCCGCGCGGCCGGCGCAACCCGTTTGGTGGGGGGCTGACGATGACGTGGGGGGGCTGCTGTGTCCCGTCGGCTGCCTGGCTGGCTGACGGCCACGCGACCCGCCTCCCTGGTGCCGGCTCGAACAACTGAAGCTTCCTGATGTGTCTGAACTTTCAAAAGAACTGGGCCCCACCGCGGCGCGCGGCAGGAAATTGAGTGGGCGTTACCGATGATGTGCTGCGCTACGCACACTGCTACTCACCCGGCGCATCATCAACCTGTTTGCTCCGGTCAGCTCAGTCCTCCCCGACCTGTTGTTCGATGGAGCTGCTCATGTTTTAGGAAGCGTTTGCGTGCATCACTTGCGCACACGGCCAATCAATTGCTCGTCATTTGTGCTGACATCCGATTTTGGCCGAGCTTAGGACGGGCGAGGGCCGCAGGACAAACGCCAGAAAAAACTTGTAGAACTCCTGATTTGGTGCGCATCGCCCACCTGGATAGGCAGCCGCGTGAGGTTTTTTGGAGCGGTGACACGACTTGAAGATCATTGACCACCCCATTAGCACGGCGTAGCACAGCACAGCCGGATCAAAGTGGACCAGAGGTGTCTGCGGACGAGGGTGGAGGCGGCCAACAGGGAGGCCATCCTGACATGGCGATGTCGGGGATAGGGGCTCCACCTGAGGCGGAACAGTTCAGCGTATTTGTGGGGGATCTCACTCCCGAGGTGTCGGATTTTGTTCTCATGGAGTCCTTCAGGCAGTTCTACCCCTCGGTGACGAGCGCGAAGGTGCGGGCCGCCGGACCCGGCCCACCGCATGGGGACTGCCGGCGGCTGTGACCGCGGCGGCCACGGGGGCCGGGCACGCAGACGGTGGCCGCATGCATGCACTGCCCATGCAAACGTCTGAGAACAGGCGGAATCGGCATGGCGGCCCCGCATGTATCGGGAGGGGCGATGTGTCCCATGACTTTGGCGCAACCGCCGCCACCCTACACCCGCTGCGGGGCCGAGCCAAGAGCAGCCTGCGGAGGGGCCCGCTATGCTGCCGCCGCAGCCGGCGGTGCGCTGCGCGGCGGCGCGGCGCAGCGCGGCCCAGCGAGTGCCCCCTTGAGCAGCGATACCGCTACGGACGCACTGCACACTCACTCGGGGGCCGGCACTCGCGGTGGCATGCGGCAATCAACCTCAAACGAGACCGCACGCGACTCATGGACGCGACCCATGTACGCTCGCGGCACGCCCATCCACTCCCTTTTTCTGCGCCCCACCCCTCCAGCGCCACCCGTCTCACCCCGCCCGCGTCACCCGTCCCACCCCGCCGGCGTAACCCGCAGGTCATCACGGACCCGGCCACCGGCCGCCCCAAGGGCTACGGCTTCGTCCGCTTCTCATCCGAGGCCGACCGCGACCGCGCGCTCGAGATGCAGGGCTTCAACCTCGGCGGCCGCCCCATACGCGTCAGCCTCGCCACCGCGCGCCGCTCCGGCGCCGCAGGCAGCGGCGGCTCTGGCTCCGGCGCCGCGGGCGCGGCGCCGCACCCCGCGGAGCTCGACCCGACCAACACGACGCTCTTCATCGGCGGCCTCAGCGGCGGCGTGTCCGAGGAGCAGCTGAGGGCGCTGTTTGGGCAGTATGGCGTCATCGTGTACGTCAAAGTGCCGGCCGGGAAAGGTGGGCGCAGGCAGGGCCTTTTTGCGCCCCGCGGCGGGGCCCCTCCCTCAAGCACGGCCGCGCGACGTCGCGGCGGCCGGGCGGCAGCCGCGCCGGCGGGGCGCGCCCAGCACGGGACGATGATCCGCTGGCATGCGGATCTAGCGGGGCCCTCCTGCAGCCGATCGCCCCGGCCCGCCGCGTGCGCGGCCGCCACCCCGGTGCCCTCTGCGCGCCGCGCCGACCGCTCGCCGCCCCGCCCTCGCCCTCGCCCCGTGCGCGCGCCAGGCTGCGGGTTCGTGCAGTATGTGGAGCGCCCTGCAGCTGAGGTGGCAATGGCGTCGCTCAACGGCCAGGTGCGCCGCGGGCGCACTCATAGCCACTTGGGCAGCAGGCGTCAGGCGACGGCCCGTCGACGCACCCTCGCCGGGGCAGGGGGCGCTGCGCGAGGGCCTTCCAAAGCGCGCGGCTCTCTGGCCGGCAGCTTACCTCGTAACACCCCGCCGCGACGCAACGAGCGGCCCACCCCTGCCACGCGCCTTGCTTTGGAGATGCCACGCTGCCAAGAGCAAGCGCGTCGTTTTTTTTCCTCAGCCGAGCCCAGGCTTGCCGCGCGGCGCCACAAAGTCCCGCACGCGACAGATGCCTTGGCTCTTGCACGCATCTTCGGCCCATCTCCGACTGACGGACCCGTCTGGTGACCGCCCATCTTCCATTGATGCAGGTCATAGGGGCCAACGCAATCCGCATCAGCTGGGGCCGCTCGACCAGCCGCGCCCCCACCGCCGGCCGCGCCGCAGCCGCCGCAGCAGCAGCCGCCGCCGCCTCCGCCGCCGCCATCCCCGCCTTTGGCGCCCGCGCGCCGGGCGCCGGGGCCGCGAGCGGCGCGCTCGCGGGCGGCGTGTATGGCGGGGGCGTTTCCTTCGCCCAGCCCGGCCTGGCGGCGCTGGGCTACCCAGGGGCTTTCGGGGGCGGCGCCGGCGGCGCCTATATGAATGGACATGGCAACATCCTGGTGGGTCCTTTGCTGTTGGTTCCGGTAGCCGTGCATGCAGGGCGTGGGAGCGGTAGGACGCCGCTTCGGGGATCCGGCTTGTGGTGGCATTGCAGCCGCCGCGGCCAGCAGCACCCTCTCTGCTGGGGGGCGCGCTGCCCTCACGTGCCGACGCCCCTGCACTCGCTCACCCACCCATCCGCCCCTGCGCGCGCTCGCCGTCTGCAGGCGCAGCAGCAGTATGCGACAGACGGTGGCTTTGTCATATCCGGCGTCCCGCAAGGCGGCCTGCAGCCCGGTGGCATGGCCTTTGTGGACCCATCTGCGGCGGCGCTCATAGCTCAGCAGCAGCAGCAGCAGCAGCAGCAGCAGCAGCAGCAGCAGCGCGTCCTGCTGGGGCCCGCAAGCGCGCACGGTGGCGCGGCTGCGCTCGACGGTGGCCTGCTAATCGGCGGCTACCCCCTTGGGGCCATGCAGGGCGGCCACGCCATGCAATTCGCCCCAGCGGCGGCCGGCGGGGTGGACGCCGCGTTTGGGGCAGCCGGCCAGCAGCAGCAGCAGCAGCAGCAGCAGCAGCTGAACCAACAGCAGCTGCTGGGCGCAGGGGGGTACGTGCTGCCTGCAAATTAGGCCGCCGGCGCCGTGGTGACGTGCGGTGCCGTGCGGGCTGCCCGCGCCGCGTGGCGGCCTGCAGAGTCCTCCTGCGCTGTAGTGGTGTGTGAGCTGTGTGTCAAGTCACCAGCAAATGGATTGCTGATTTTCCCAAGTCGTGTACCGCCCGCCTCGTTTGGTCGTCCAAAGCCAGCCCAGCCAGGCGGTCCTGATCAATGGAGGCCCCTGCCGCGTCGATACTTGCGTCATCATGACACCAGCACCCGCCGGCGACAGCACGCACCCGCAACATCCCTGGTGCCGTGGGGTACGCGCCCGGACGCCGGCACGGCGTTCCACAACGGGCCCGTGCGTCAAATCGGCCCCGGGCTGCGCAGCTTTTTGAACCTTGAGGGTGGCGCAGGGCCGTCCCTACGGATTCGTCCTTGCCCCGTCACATTGCGTTGCTGTGAAGCTTGCGTGGCCATGGATGAGTTGATGCCCCTGCACTTTGATCATTGAGGGCATGCGAAGCCCCCCAAACTGGGGCCAACAAATGCGCGCGGCGGCGACGGCGGTGGCGGCGCGCCAGTTCCAGGCGTGCCACCACCCATGCAGGCCCGCGCGCTGCGGTTTTGGCGCACTGAAGGGGGGCGGCCGGCCGGCTGGGGCGCACGCGTGGGCTTTGCAAGTACGACGTCAGCGCGCACGCCGAGAGGCCTGCGTGGTCAGGATCTCTGCACCTCATGTCTTTCAACCACACGGGCGTGCGCGTCCCTGCGGTCAAACGCGGTTGAACGCTCCCAACCATTGCGCCCGGACGGCCGCGGCGCGGCCGGCGGCGACACGCGAGAAGCTTCGCGCGCACGCATTCGGGGTTTGGGCGTTGATTTTGCATTGCGGCTGCTTTGCCGCGCCTCGTCAGCACGCTGTTCCAGGCTTGTGGGTTCGACCGAGGGGCCGGGCTTCTTCCAAAACAAAGGCTCCCCATGCTAATTTGCGCCGCCTGCAACATTGCCGCTCGCTCATCGCCGCGATTTCTGCTTTTCCCGTGCCCCGCCAGCAGCTTTGCGTACGTGTGTGCGGCTGTGCCCCCGGAGCGCCCCGCACACCGCCTTGGTTGAAGTTTGTTTGCCAATGCGTTGCTTTGTTTTGCCCTCAAGGGGCCAGCGCAACGCGCGCGCATGCCCTGCGGCCACTCGCAAATTGTGGCTGCACAGCGGTCGCGCTTGAAAACTGTGCTGCGGCTCTCCCGCCCCTTGGCCCCCTTGCCGCCTCCCTGCCTTGCCTGCAATATCGCCCTAGTGCCTCCAGCAGTGCCGTTTTGGGGCCGTTGCCCTGAGATACTTGTGAGATATTTGGTGGCAGCTGCCCTGCCTCCATCCCCAACGGCCGATTCTCTGAACCAAGTGACCCGGTAGCACCATGCCAGCGCCCGCACATGTGCCGGCGGCGCACGCGGGCGCACATCTGCAGGTGACTAGGTGGGCCGGGGTGTGGCCCCGCCCCGAGCGCCGGCCCCCCAACGTTAAGATGCCGGGATCTTTAAACTCTGCGACTCTGCCTGCCAGCCTGCTAGATTCCTGCCTTGTGCTGGTTCAAGTTTGAATTGGGGTCTGACTAGGATTACTCCACGTTTCACAGGAGCATGCAAGCCCCTGGGCTGCTAGCACTTGCGCAGCGGCCCCCGCGCCGGGCCGAGATGCCTGGCGCGCGCCGCGGCCGGCGATCAGGCGCGGCGCGGCGCGCCCCCTGTGCCGCTGCGCCTGCATGCTTTTTTGCCCAAACCGCGGTCTTAAACCCTTGTGAGCAACCTGCGTGTGTGTGCGTGTGTGTGTCTCGCTGTGCCTGCCTGCCTAGGCTCGCGCCTGTGCCTGCCTAAATGCCTGCGCAGCCCTTGCCCCCGCAAGCTACGATCCAATCGGTCAGCCCGTGCGCCAGCGCCCCGCATGAAGGAACTTTACCCTCCTGGGCTGCTTGGACCGGACAGTTGTTCTGTTGAGCCTGGGTGGACGTTTCAATACTTTTGTTGCTTCATGAAGCACCCGCAGCAAGCACTAGTAATTACCCGTCGCTGGCCTTTCCTGGCAGCAATACACTGTCCCGCTTGCCGTCGGTGCTTACAACCAGCCCCAACCAGCCCCACAGAGCGTCCTGCAGGACAGCCGCCCGATACACGTGGATTGTTTCGTGATAGGCCGCAGGGGCCATTCAAACTGCGGGTCAGGGCTTACTGAGGGAGGGGCAACATGCCCCATACAGTTCGTGGCTGCGGACCGCCTTGAACTCGCAGCGCGCGGCGCGAGCGCGCGGGGAAGGCGGCGCCGCGAGGGCGGGCGCGTTTTTGGTGTTCGACAGCAGGACAGGCGACGCGCGACGGCTCGCCGCCTCTCTCGTTTGCGGTTAGCTATGAGAAAACACAGTTGAAGCAGCCTGCCAAGTGCTTGGGGTCGCCCCGCGAAGAGGAGGGGCTAAGGATGCGCAATAGAGCAGCTCCAGGTCGTCGGCGGCTCCGCGGCGCACGGCGGCAAGCAGCAGCGGGCTTTGGGGTGACGCGGCCGGCGGGGCGCCGGCCTGTGCCTGGCTGACGCGGCCAGGCGCGACGCGTACTGCAGATTTCTGTGTTGTGCCGCCGCCTCTTCTTCACGGCGACGCAGGGCCGTGCCCGCCCGCCTAAATTTGCGCCTCCTGCAGAGCGGGCCGCCCGGGCTCGCATGTCCCAACCCCGGACCATGACACAGGCGCGAAGGATAATGAGCAGGCGCGACAGATAATGCCTTAAGGCAGGCACTGGGGCGGAACCCCGTCTGCACAACTGCGCCCCCAGCGGCCTTGCAAAGAGGCCAGGGTGCCGAAGTGGGGGGCGCGCACCGGTGGAGAAGCGCCCGGTCACTGTGCCTTCCCGGCCTCCTTAGCGGGGGCGGCCCCGTTGGCAGTGCCGTTCGCGGTCCCGTTGGCGTCGGGCTTGGCCCGGCGGGGGCGCGGCGCGAACGCGGTCGGCCAGCCGAGCTCGAAGCAGAAGGCGGCGGCGGACTGGAGGGCGGCGAAGAAGCACCAGATGGTGGGCCTGGCGGCGCGCGACAGGGGGAACGAACTTTGAGTTGCGTGGGCGGTCAAATTGCTTGCGCCTTCTCCGTGATCGCGGCATGCTGGGCGGGGGGCGGATAGCGCCCCGCTGTGCTGCCGAGCTGGGCGCTAGACACCTTGTACCGTGCAGCGCGACACCCCGGCTAAAAATGAGCTCCCCAGCCGCCATCAAAGCTGTACAGCCGCTGCCGCCGCCGCCCCACACCTGATGGCACTGCCGCCGCGTCCATTGCACGAGCACGACCTCTTCCCCACCCCCACCCCCGCCCGTGTCACCCACCACTCCAGGGGGTACGTCTTGATGTCGCCCTTAGTCATGTACATCGACATGAGCGGCCCGATGATGAGGGTCCCCACCATGAGCTTCCGCCGCACGCCGGCGCCCGCCAGTAGGGTGGGCACGAAGAACAGGAAGAAGTGGAGGCTGGCGCCGGGGATGAAGTAGGTGCTGGGCAGCAGCGGCACGCCCTGCGGGGTGGCACGGTGAGGCGGGGCGGCGGGGTGCGGCCGTGAGAGGGGGCATGCGGAGCTGGGCGGCCCGCCGGGAAGCGGGGCGGCCGGGCGCTGAGCCGACACTGTGGGGAGCGTGCGGGCGCCTGCGTCCCTCCCAAGCTTCCTTGGCGGCCAGCCCGACACTCCACCCT